CCTATTTTTGAGGTTTTGTTATTTTTAAACATTAGTAAATCAATACGTAATAAAGAATATTATACATATATTATATATAATTATATATGATTTGTGCCAATATTAAAGTTAAATAAATTAATACATAATTGAGAAGGCGTCCGGAAATAAACAGAAAGACAACAAAGGCATTTTGCCTATTTTTTTAGTTTGTTTTCGTGCTCCTCACCTAACACTTTTATACTATTCTATAAAAAAAATTGTAGACGAATTACTGTATTACTGCATTAATTAAAATTGAAATTAAAATTAAAAATTAAATTTATTCTAGTTGAGGTATGTCTAGTATGAGGTATGACACATCAGATACTAAGTGAGTCCCAGGACGCTTCCTTGCGGTAATCCTGCTTTAATTTCTTTTAAATTGGAATATGCTTCATATTGTTTTAATCTAAAGAATCTATACGAAATGTATAAATCCAGTATCTCTGAGTATGGCTGTGGAAGTAACACATTTAATTTGTATTTTAAGCCATCAAGCCATATTTTATTAAAAGCCTGCGCAACATCGAGGAAGATGGCTGAACATATTTTTTTGTTTTCTAATGCTTTTTCAATCGCATTTGAGATTCTATGAACCTGATTTATAACGCCAAACTGATACGCTCTGGAATTAGTTTCCTGTCTTCATTAATGGGTTTCAGTCTTTCTATTAGTATTTTTTAAAATAGTTTCGACATTATAGACAATAGAGATATTGTCCTTTATGGCGAAACTTCTTTTGGAAGTTTTCCTGGTTTGTGGATCATAATGACTTCAGCTACCTTCCACAACCTAGGGACATACCTTAGATTGAATGAGACATTAAAGAGGTAAGTTTATTTATGGCTATCTTCGGATGTTGTTTTAATCCCCTGTAATTAAATTAGTAAATCTTAGTATTATTATTTGTTTTTATATCTTTTGCAATTTCCTTTGAAGAGGTTGGTCCGATGATTGAGTCATATCTCTGTGAAAGAGATCAGTTCGGTAATTATTTGGTTGGATGGTACTTTGTAAGTGCTCTGCGAATCTATTAACTTTGTATGTTACTTCTAGCCCAGCTGCCATTTGTATTTATGATTGGAGCATTTTATACAGTGGACCTTTTAAATCGCTTTGTGGCTTTCCATACAAAATATTCAGTGGATTTATTGTTTGTTAACTCACTAAGGCACTCACACATAGATACATTTTTAATTTGTTTTATCTCTCTTTTTAACTGCTGGGTGGCGTTGTTAAGTTTGGTTTTATCTAATTGAGCTTTAATCTGATGCCATTTCCTCCTTAGTTTTCTTTTTGCAGATATTAGATCCCTTATTTTTTTAAGACAGTTATTTTCTGTTGTTTGCTGAAAAATAGGTTAGTTATTATAACCTATTGCTTGCTGTATGTTGGACACAAGTAGTTCTACTTCTTCATCTAGCAGTCCGTTTGTTCTTAACGGAACTGATAGATTGATTTTATTTTTAAGGTCCAGTCTGAAGCTTTGCCAGTCTCTTCTCCCATTTTTTAGTCTAATAGCGCTTTCCTTTTGGATATTGGTGTCACTAATAGTAAAAAGAATGGGTAAATGATCTGAATTCATGTCCCATGCCTCATCAACTTACATGTAGTTTGCTGACATATTTCATTCAACAAAAAGCTCTATTAGCTCGTGTATTTTATATCTATCTGTGGGCCAATAAGTTGGTTTGCCAGTTACATGCAACTCATATTTTAACTATGTCGTTGTTTCTTTTCGGTTTTTATCCTAAGTTGGTTTTAGTCTGCAGTCCCGATGGATGTGTTTTGTATTGATGTCGCCTCCAATGATGAATCTAGGTCCTTGACTATTGAGAAAGTCTAGGTATTGTTCTTTTTTAACGATATGTTTTGGAGGACAATAAAATAAAGTGACCATAATTTTATAAGTTTTAGATTTTATCATTACTAAATTAATTTGAAAGTCTTCAGTCCTGTATCCCGTTTCTTGATGATGTTTAATTGCTTCTCCAGGTATTACTGCGCTACCCCATTTGCTGCATTTTGAGGATAAATATTATAATAAACCTTATATCTCTTAAATTCAATGAAGGACTCATTAATAAAGTAAGTCCCTGAAATTAAGAATGTGTCTATGTTTTCTATGTCTAGCATAAATTGCAATTTCTTGTTGGTGCTACAGCAGTCCATTATCATTCCATTCCATTAATATTCGGTTAATACTCATTAAATTTTGTCTTAGGTATAGCTCCTTTGCTACTATATTCTAACCTAGTAGTTCGTTTGCCCATTTTGTTCAGCTTTACCAATATTTGATGGAGAGTATTGATAAGGGATGCATCTTGATTGTTATCTATTTCTTCCTTTTTACCAGATACCGTCTGGCTGAATGATATAGATTTATTTTAGATTGTTTCTATTAACAGGCTTATATTGAGTTACTCGTTGTGGCTGTTTAGGTAAGTATGTTTTTTGCTGTGCTATTATTTTTTATTTTTAACATTTCCTTGACTACTTCACATCCCCTCTATCCAGCAGAATGTCCTTTGCCGCAGTGAACGAATTTAGTTAAATCATCTTTCGGTTTTGGATAGTTTACAGTTTAATGTTTCCCTTTGCATTTTACGCATCGCGCTTTTTAGTAGTACCTTTGAGTGTGACCGAATGCTTGACACTTTTTGCATCGAGGTAATAACTTGGATTTTCTGAGAGGTATAATTTCTACATAGCCTACCATAATTTCTCTAATTCCATATATTTTCTCAACACTTTCGTGGTATTGGAATGTAAGCTAAGCATGAATATATTCAATGATTGTTTGGTCCTATATTTAAGTTTTGGAGTAGCACGACTTTTCAAGTTCGCAAGAGTTGTGCAGTTTTTATGCCATTACTTTAATTGGTCTATTCTGTTTGTCTTTATATGAGTACCAAGTATACTCTTGTTCTGTTAATTCTCCAGAAAACATTCTATATTCTGGTCTTCAGGAACGTTAATTTTGACATCATTGTCGTTGATGACTATAATTTGGGAGTTTGGGATTTGTCTCACCATACTTTGAAGTTTATTAAGGTTTTGTATGTTATTCATTATGATAGGTGGTGGGGCTTTAACTTTTACAGGTTTTTCTGTTGTAATGCTGTTATATTGTTATTGTGGCTGTGGTTGTGGAGGTTTCAATGAGGTATCCATTTTCTTTTTTTGTTTTTTACGCGGATCCATTCAGTCTCTTTTGCCAGATCTTCTTTAATTGTAAATTATTTGGTGGACTTAGTTGCATTGATTATATTGCAAGCCATACTTTCTTTTATTCCTGTATACTTTTTGATTAATTCATCATTTGTTTCCATGATTTTATCTGTCTTGATAAGGAGCAACTGCAGCAAGATTATTTTTCTCCATTTATGTTTATTTAAGAGCATTGTATAATGCTTCTTCATTCTGTGACCTTGCGGCACTATTTTCTTGGAAAAGTTTCATTTTATTTCTATCACTATCAATTGCTTTTAAAAATATTTTTATCGGCGAATTTTTAATATTTTTAAACATACCTAGGTACTAGTGTTTATATTCTTGTTTCGACATGTTAAACTATATTAAACACTGTACACCTTAACCTAATATGAACTTGACCCACTTTGATCGTCGCGGCGAATAATTAAAATACATCCGACACCGTTAGCTGACTATTTTTAGTTGTCACAAAAAAGACTGTTGACCTCAAAACTCACTTCTTTGTAATATAATCACGGTATAAGAATTCTTATACCGTGATATATTAGGATATATTTCAGGCGCTATGTTTGAGTACTAGGTATACATTGCAGGCGATTTTTAAGGTGTATAGGGATATGATAATGTAAGAAATATGACGACGACGGTATACTACGGTTGTGCTCTGGTATGCCCTGTAACACGATAACCCAACATACTTGAGACGTTATTTATGGGACATCTGGAAGGAATTCATTAAATAAGTCGTTAATGTTAAGAATGTATGCTTACCTTAAGATAGAAAAAGGTTAAGTAGGGTAGTATTGATTGGTAACTGAACCAAAGCGAAACGTTATCTTAAATATTATATTCTTAGTTCTTAATATAAAAATATTGTTCTATAAAATCATGTTGTTTATTTTCGACACTCTTACAATAACTTCTGTAAGAATGATTTTATTTTCTATACAAATTTAAGTTTTATTTTACGAAATATGCACAAAATATTTGTCTCCCAAAACAGTTACAGCCTATTTTTATGTAAGCACTATTAAGATACGGAGGTATCGATTACAAATATTGGAACTAAGGGTAAAAGATCAAGCAGGCATAACAAACAGATCATTTTAATAGAGATGTTCAAAACAAAAAAAAGTATCGGTACTGCGTATCGATTCAGATCGATGTTTAATGTATACACTTTAATATGGTAAGCAACAGTGTCGATACTCAAAATATCGAAATGGTATACTAATGTAGTAAGTACTATAAGGTATAATAATAATAATTTTTGAGGATTCTATAAATTTTTTGCATAGATTATTAATGGTTTGTGCAACTGCTTCAGGGTTAATAAAATGTATTTTTTTGAAACGTAGATCCGAAAAAGTGAAACAAGCTAGTAATTTTACAGATTCTACATAACCAAATCTTTTTAAAATTTAATTTCTTGTTAATTCTAAAATATTTTTTCCTTGTTCAGTATTAGGAGAAACATTATTGAGCTGCTGTTTTAAACATTTACCTAATGAAATTATTTTACTACTGGATATGTAATGTTCTCCTGAAATTTTCTTTGATACTGCTTCTGTAGGTTTTAAAACTAATAAAATTTCCTTCAAAGCTTCAATTTCGTTTGAGTCAGTAATAGGTGGTGATTTAGGTGTATTAAATAATATTGGCACTAGGTATCTATATATCATAAGATACCTTTTAATCATGTAGAAGGTAGAATTCCACCTGGTAGGCACAAATTGTATAAGTTTGAGTTTGTTTTCTTGGGGTTAGGCCTTCCTTAACTCATCTGAGGCTGCGACACTGTGTTTAAAATATGTGACAACATTTCCCACTTCTGTCATTATTTTAGTTGCTAGCAAATCTAATAAGTGGGCAAAACATGGTAAATGCTTATTTTTACCAAACAGGAGTGTTATAGCCTTTACCATGTTTGCACCATTATCAGTAACTACTGCACTTATTTTGTTAATGCAAATGCCCCAAGATTCACAAAATTTCTTTATTATATCTGTTATATATTCAGCTGTATGGTTTGAAGAAAGTTCATATACAGCTATAACTATAGATTTAAATTTATCTTCATCAATATAATGGCAAGTTAATCCTAAAAAGCTTTTTGTATTCATTGTTTCAGTCCAAATATCTGTAGTCAAATTAAAATGATTTATATTGCTAATTTTACTTTTCAAACATCTTACAAGTACATCATATTTATCGTCAACTGGCAGTTATAGATTTTCGTTCTGGAATTATATATAGAGGCGCAGTTGTTTGAATAAAATACTTGATTCCAACTTGTTCTATTGTGTTTAGTGAAAGATTGTCTTTAGCAATCATATAAATTAGTGCATTTGTTATTTGACTTGATTTACGTTCACCATCTAAAAAACAATAAAAGATATTTTTGGTGGCGGTCTGGTTGTAAATTAATAATATACTAATGGTACTTTAAAAATAGTAAAATTACCTTGAAATGATTTAATTTTTGCAATCGTTTCTGTTATAAGAGGTTGTCGTACTTGTCGTGTGTGTTCTCCAGTATAGTAATTAGATTTAGATGAACATGGTTGAGGTTCATAATCAGAATTTACTACCTTATCCTACAATTCTAAATTAGAAGTTGTTTCTGTTGACTCAGTTTCCATTTTCTAAAAACATATGTTTATTTTTAGTTTATTTACTTTTGGAAAATATATCTTTACATATCTAGTACACTTACAGTTACGTCTATTTGTAAAGCACTTTTCAAATGATTTTCCGAAATCTATATGATGTTTTCGTATTAAATACATAGATATATTAGTTGTGGTGCCGGTAGACTTCACATCACTTCTACAGAGTTTACAGATTTCACCTGTTTTAGTTTTTATGAAATAATTTCAAACATTACTTTTATTTTTGAAACGCGGCATTTTTGAGCAATAGATAAATACTAAGACAAAACAGTAAAACACACGACACAACTAAACAGTGGACTAATAACTAATAGACAAGTCCGACAAGTGATAAAAAAATTATGTGATTCCCAATAGGCAACATATATACGCCATCTCCAAGAAACAAACGTTACTCAGATCTCTAAACCTAAATACTGTTTGTTTAAATTTAATACCTTATTACTAGATGGCAGACCTAAAATTCGAAATTAGTGTTGCATAATGTTATCTTTATTTTCGATTCGATTTAACATAAAGATGTATCGATACGGGGTATTAATGCATCGGTGAATATCGATACAAAATATCGAATTTTGAACTTCTAAATATCGATACTGTCAAATATCGTATCGTATCGCACATCTCTATTTTAAATTTGGGTTAGTTGCTTTGCGGAACAAAATTAAAGTTCATTCCAATAATAATAAAATAATGAATACTTGTAATTTTTTTGAGTGGCTGTTTGCTGAACAGGGTGAGTTTTTCTCACTGAGTAATTATGTTTTATCAGTTTTGTTTTAATTTGTAATCAAGTTATTTTGCAAATTATATTACCCAATTATTATCCATCAACCTTTTATAGTTAGTTTGTCGATTCTGACGTAAAGATTTTTGTCAAGTATTGAGAAAACTTTATATCCCAAATTAACGGGGTTATATTAAATAATTTAAACTTATTTGAATTTGACTATTTATTTGTTTTCCTCTACGAGGTGCAATCAAAAGTAAAGTGAGTTAGATTGTCTGTTCTAGCGTAGTACATTGCGTTCAGTGTATGCGTTTATTTTGGGATTACTGTGGTCAGTTTTCTCAGAGTCGTCGCACCATGGTTGGTGTGGGCTAGTGACATTGCGGTCAGTGTGCTAGTAATGGCTTGTTTTATATATCGATTGATGATTGGGCATTGCGGTCAGTGCCAACGGAATTGAGAATATAACTTTTTGTCAATTATGGAAAATTTAAAGTTGTGTCAATTATATTTTTTTATAATCAATATTTTGACATAAAGAGTTATCAGTATAATTTTCTTGATAATTAAAAGAATAATAAGTATTCTGTTTATGGATATCACCTTTTCATGACTTTCTTTAATATAAAGCTGCTTTTGGAAAACTTGATTGCTCATACTTGTTTTTTTTTATTTCAGGTACGCCATCTCATACGAGCATTAATTAAGTATTTTATCTATTTTATTTTACTATTATTATATTTGCGTTTTATTGTTTTTAATCATTTAATACTTATTTCTAACTAATTTTATTTTGTTTTAAATTTTACCTTTCAATTAAAAGTTATTAAATATTTTATTGAATTAATTTCTAGTTTTTCCTGACATTGATTAAATAACTAAATATTACCGCCCAAGTTTATAATAGATATTTTTAAAAAACAAATATCGTCCTATACTTCCTTTTCTTCATTTTTTTATCTCATTTCTTGTGTATTATTTTAACGATGTTGCACTTGAATTTTTATTGTTATCAGTATTATGTCTGTAAGATAAATTGACTGGAAGGAATTATTAATAATTACTAAAAAATAGTTGCTTTACTAGGACTTATCAAACACCCTCCATATACACAATTACCAACAGGTTCAAAAGCGCAGCGACTAATTTTCGTTGCATTCTTTGATAGTTATTACGAACAAATACACAGTTGACAATAAAAGATACTACCTCATCATGCTTTAGCCGGAGTACGATTGTTGAGAATAATATTAAAAGTTTCTGTCTTAAATGTGGTTTATTACGAAGTTTCGTAGTTTGAAGATAAGTCTTTGCTCCTTGCACAAGAATAACGCGAAGATGCCGCTGTGTTATCGTTGGATAATCTCTAGAGAATTTCATTATTCGTGTCAACTCTGGGTTTATTATTCTACATAGCGAATCCTAAGACACGGGGGCTAAAATGCAAGGGTTGACTGTATATAAAAATAAAGTTACACACTTTTTTAATTCTGTAATCGTTTTACCTATCGGAACATATCTAGTTATATTGAAAGCGAGTTTTCTTTTATATTTCTCTCCACTTCTTTAATTCTCTTACATCTACTTTATTTTTCCACATCCGGTTCTTCCCTTCTATGTTGGTACTTTCACTTCTTTCATCCAAGTCTTGATCTACATCTTTACTTTTTCCTATTTCTATAGTTAAAAAAAATTGTCCCACTAATCGCAATACTTCTTACTCAAATTGACTTCTGTTGTGTTATCCACAGATGTAATGTATACTTTTTCTCGAATTGCCTAATTTATCACTATTTTGAATTGTTTGCACTATTTGTGCTTTAAGTAGGTATATTGGACCATAACTTAATTTAAATTATTTTGAATATATTGGGCGTCTTGAAATGACTAATTGTTACGGGTCAATTTTAATTTTATTATAGTGAATAGTCTTTTAACACAGAATATTAAAATCATACCTGCTTTTCCACTATTTTCGAGTAATAAATAAAAACTCATCTAAATTCGTGAATAATACACAAAATTAATTGTCTTCGTTTCCATTTATTAAAATTAACCTATACATATTATTGATATTGTTTATTTATATGCTGTCAGCACTTGACCATGACCTTAAGGTAGTTCTTCTTCTTCTTCTTCTTCTTCTTCTTCTTCTTCTTCTTCTTCTTCTTCTTCTTCTTCTTCTTTTTCTTCTTTTTCTTCTTCTTCTTCTTTTTCTTCTTCTTCTTCTTCTTCTTCTTCTTCTTCTTCTTCTTCTTCTTCTTCTTCTTCTTCTTCTTCTTCTTCTTCTTCTTCTTCTTCTTCTTCTTCTTCTTTTTCTTCTTTTTCTTCTTCTTCTTCTTCTTCTTCTTCTTCTTCTTCTTCTTCTATTCTTTAGTTGATTTTAGTTTGTGCAATTTGGGATTAGTATTGGCAGTTTAGCCATCCCAAATCAAGGACATTCATCTTCTTAGGTCCTGTGGTTTTCCCTTTCTCTTTCATTTTAAGGTAGGTTTATGGGCCATGAGGTCTTTGAAAATTATATTGTCATTTCGGATTTTATACCACTTAAAATAGATAAGTTAAATCAAACAATTGAATTAAATTATATAAGTATTGAACCCGAAAAATCAAGAGTTGATTTTAGTACACATTTTGTGGATTTGTCGATATTTATAGGTATAAAACAGGTTCCTACCCTATTGAGTAAGTCATCCAGATATAACCTTGCATGTAGCTTTAGCTAGTTTTATTTCTGCTTTTAGGTCCTTTTCTTTTTACTTCTACTATTTTACTTTATAATTTAAGAACTATTTGCTTTGCCTTCCATTACGATTACCTAGTACTGCTTGCACCAACCTGCTTGGCAATTTTCTTAGGGCTTGAAACCATTTGGGCCCTAAGCATGTAAATACTCTTGTAATAGTAAAGCAATACGCCTATAGTGCAGGGAAATTAACTGAAACAGCTCTTCATCAATTAATAAAAGGGGTGGAGAACACACTGGGAAACAAGGAGGTAATGCTGGGAGCATTCTTGGATATCGAGGGTGCATTTGATAGTACCTCCGTTGAATCGCTCATTAGATCTCTCAAACACAGAGGAATCGAGGACACGTGCGTGCCCTGGATAGACTTTATGTTTAGGGAGAGAACTATATACGCAACCCTTATGGGAGAGACAATGCGGCACGGGTAGCGAGAGGATGTTCGTAGGGTGGAGTGCTGTCTCCACTCCTGTGGAACCTTGTAGTGGACGGACTGCTTAGGGCTCTCAAAGATAAGGGACATAGAACCCTGGGATATGCCGATGATCTAGTAATCATAGCACAGAGAAAATACAACACAATAGTAAGAGATAGAATGCAAGAGGCTCTAAATATAGTAACAAAATGGACAGAGGCGGAAGGACTAAACATTATCCTAAACAAATCTGACATAATTGCATTCACCCGCAGGAGGAAATTGGAGGGACTAGGGCCTCTAAACCTAAGAGGTGCAAGCATCCAGCTTAATGGGGAGGTAAAATATCTCGGGGTTATGATTGACTCGAGACTTACCTAGAACCAGCATCTAGAAAAAACCACAAGGAGAATGGAAACCTCGTTAATAATGGCAAGGCGATCCTTTGGAAAAAATGGGGGTTAAAACCAGACATGGTATATTGGCTTTATAAAATGGTGGTGAGACCGATAATAACATACGCAGCTTTGGTGTAGTGGCAAAAGACACAACAAAGGAAA